TCTTCTAAGGTGTGGAATGAATACTCTTGTCCTTAAAGACCAACAGCCATTTAACAGTAAAACAAAGGAATAATTTATTACCTCTCGAGACTACATTTAAATAATTAGCTTGTTTACAATAGTAATTCTGAATGAAAATAAAAGTACCTCATTCATTTAGTTTCCAGGATTTAGGACCCTAGACTATTTATTTCATCCTGGAAATGGCTATAGATACATGTCCTGGTTGTAGAAGGAGTTCTAGGAAACATACCATATATACTCAACTATAAGTCAAGAAATTTTTGCTCAAAAAGTGACCCAAAAACCTGGGTTGACTTATATACGGGACAATAAAGTAATAGGTTTGCCCTTCAAGCTTCTTCTGCAGCCTGGCTGTCTGCCAAAAGGACAGCTGGGCTGGGGGAAGACCTGGGGCAAACGCTTGCTCCCTCCTTTTCCCCAGTCCCTCTGTCCTCCAGAGGCTGGAGGATGCTGGGATCAGGGAAAGTCCTGGGGGCGGCAAACGCTTGTTCCCTCCTTTTCCCCCAGAGACTAGAGGACACTGGGATCGGGGAAAGTCCTGGGGGCAAACGCTCTTTTTCCCTAGTCTGGGGGTCCTTCCAAGGGAAAATCGAACTGCAGAGGAGGTGGAAGAGCAAGTGCTGGCCTCTGAAGCTTCCTCCCTAGCTCAGCTGTTTCTCAAAGGGACAGCCGGGCTGTGGAGGGGAAGAAAGGGTACTCACATTTTACTCTCATCTTATCCAGAGGTCATATCAAAATCTCTGATTTTTTACTCAAAACCTTCCCTCGACATACAAACAACATCAACTTATACATGCGTATATACAGTACTAATTAAATTAGGAGCAACAAGAATTGTGTTTGAATCCAAATAGAGAATCATGACTACATAACTATTGCAATGCGCCAGAGAGTTTATTTTAAAAATAATAATAATGTTAATAATTCAAACCAAGGACTGGGACACTCTATAAAAATAACATAATTCAAGACCAGGAAGGCATAAAAAGATGTTGGATGCAATAAACAGAAGAGTTATATAAAAGAAATGACCAAATGAAGGACACATGGAACAAAGAGTCATATGAAGATGAACCCAGAATTCTAAAAAGCAAGGTAGAAACTGCAATAAGAGAAACAGCGAAAAGCAAATCACCAAGAACAGATGACATTCCCGTTGAACTGCTGCAGTCCACATTGACAGAGTCAACTCTAGTGCTAACCAACATATGTCAACAAATATGGAAAACAAAACGATGACAAATTGGAAGGAAGCAATCAATATACATCCCCATCCAGAAAAAGGCAGAAACAAGAGATTGCATCAACTATAGGACCATAGCACTGATCTCCCATGTAAGGAAGACTATGCTCAAAATGCTACAACATAGACTCCAACCATAGAATCATAAAATCATGGAGAGAGAAATCCCAGAGGTTCAAATATTGTTCAGGTAAGGAAGAGGCACTAGGGGCCACACTGCCAACATACAATGGCTAATAGGGCACACCAGGGAATTCCAAAAGAAAAGCAGAATATGCTTTATAGACTATAGCAAAGCCTATGACTATACAGATCATGAAAGGTTATGGAATGCCCTTAAAGACATGGGAGTACCAACACATCTGATAGTCCTGATGAGGAATCTGTACTCAGGACCAGAGGCTATTGTCAGAACAGAATACAGAGAAACAGAATGGTTCCCAATTGGAAAAGGGGTCAGACAAGGCTGCATCCTTTCACCTTGTCTGTTCAATTTGTATTCAGAGCATATTATAAGAAAAGCAGGCTTGGACACACAATAAGGAGGAAGGAAAATAGGAGGAAGGAATATCAACAATCTAAGATTGGCAGATGACACTATAATAATAGCAGAAAACCTCACAGACCTGGAATACCTACTAAGGAAGATCAAAAAAGAAAGTGCTAAGGCAAGCTTAATACTGAACCTAAAAAAACAAAAATAATGAACACTGAGGACCTTCACAAGTTTAACCTAGACAATGGAGAAATAGAAACAGTAAAAGAATTCCCATACCTGGGATCAAACATTGATAGAAATGGGGACTACAGTTGGGAAATCAGAAGAAGACTAAGAATGAGGATGGCGGCTATGAAAGAACTAGAAAAGATACTAAAATGCAAAGATACACAACTCAGCACAAAAGTTAGAATTATACAAGCCATTGTACTCCCTATTACCATGTATGGATGTGAGAGCTGAATAGTTAAGAAAGATGATAGGAAGAAAATCAATTCATTTGAGATGCGCTGCTGGAGAAGAGTGCCGAAGATCCCATGGACAGCCAAAAGGACAAACAAATGGGTCCTAGAGCAGATCAAACCGGAAACCTCCCTGGAAGCCAAGATGACCAAACTGAGGCTGTTGTACTTTGGACACATCATGAGAAAGCAGGACTCTTTGGAAAAAAAACAATAATGCTGGGGAAGGTGGAGGAAGGTAGGAAGCGAGGAAGGCTGCATGCCAGATGAATGGACTCTATTAAAAAGATCATGGGTATTAAGGGGTTGTAGGAATTAAGCAGAGCAGTGGAGGATGGGGGGGTCTTGAAGATGTCTCATCCACAGGGTCACCATGAGTCAAGATCTACTCGAGGGCAAGTTAACAACAACAAACAATAATAATAATAATGTCTTTTATCTCATTTTCTTACAAGTGATACAATAATGCAAGGCATTCAGTCAATTGCTGAAATGTTTATCATCATTGTATACTGAATGGGGGGAGAGAGAAAAAGAATGTCTTTCTGCTTACATTATTCCACAAAATGCTATTATTTGTGCAGATGGCACAATATAAAGTTACTGATGACAGAGGTTGTGGGTTGTTATTGCTTTTGTTCTTGGAGCCAAAGCTCCTTGCCTAAATCACAGACGGACTCATTAAATGCCTCATCTACTAATTTTGCATTCCTACAATATTTGCTACATACAGTAACACAACAAAGGCAATATGATATTATGAACAAACAACACATTCAGAATTTCTAACTATATACTAAGTATTAAAATACTGAATGCTATTGTTATGTGTGTATACATGCTTTCATGTTGCTTGTCAACTTATGGTGAAGCCATGAATTTTGCAGGAGTTTCTTAAGCAAAGAATACTCAGAAGTAGCATTGCCAATTCTTTTCTCTGAAATATAGACTACAGCAACTTGTATTCTTTGACAGTCTCCTATCCAAGTACTAACCAGGAAATACCCTGCTTAGCTTCCAAGATCAGTCAGGAACTAGTGCCTCTAGGTCAGGGGTAGGCAACCTTTCCCCTTTAAGGGCCGAGGGACTTCAACTCCCAGAAGCCTCAGCCATGTTTGCCAATAGTCCCATGTTGGCCAATAGCTCCTGGGATTCTGGGAGCTGAAGTCCCTCGGCCCTTAAAGGGGAAAGGTTGCCTACCCCTGCTCTAGGTGCTATTCCCCTTGTAATTCACTCTGTTAACATACAAAGAAATCATATGGATCAAATATGCTGAGAATGAAGGAATATAAGCTGCTGTTCCACTGGCAGAATAATCACAATATCCTATACTATGCCATGCATCTGAAGTAGAAGTCTACAAAAGCTTATACTGCCAACTACTTTTTCTCTCTCTCTGTTAGTCTCAAAGGTGCTAAAATATCCCTTTGTATATTCTATACCAATTTAACCTATTTGGTGTTTATATTCTGGTGGTGTTTCAGAGCAGTGCTACTCTAACTAGTGGTCTGTGGACTGGCACCAGTCTGTGAGCCATCAGCTACTAGTTTCTAGAGAGTTTCCAGGAAAGAAATAAAATGTTGTATCCAATGGACACAAATACAGTGCTGATCCTTGGCACATTTTGAAGAGAAAGCCTGCTAGCCCCCCACATTGGTTAGCTTAAAAAGCCCTGATGTAAAGTGAAGTGAATGGGAGGGACATTCTTTAAATCATGTTAGGTAAAGTTGCACAGTCAACTGTACTATGGTTGTTAAACTGAGTTTAGGATATAGCATAAAGATGTGCCCCCTCCCATTTATGGCCCCACCTTTGTTTCAATGGTTACTCCAGCATCATTGGTGATTAGGACTGCCAGGTCAACAGCTTCACATTCCATAACATTTCAAGAACAAAGCCATCATATGGTGCATTGTGACTTACATGAGCCTGGCATACATAGTACTGGAATAGGTAGTGTGAATGACATGTAGATCCAGTCATATGGAAAGTCACGGGGATGGGGGGTGCTTACTGGAAGAGCACTGCTGCCAACCCCACTCTGCATTTCTGTTCAGATCAAACAAGATCACAATCGCCTTTTCAGCTTTCTGTTCTAAACACCCCTTCCTGCTTTCTCAGTACTGGGGATTCCAGATCCTGTCTAGGTGTTGCAAAGTCTATGAAGGAACATCAATCAAAATCAACCCCTCTCATCCTCCAAGGATCAAAACAAACTTTCCACGTTGAAAGCCTTCTCAGGTTCTGTTGAGGGATGATCAAGCTTTTGGTTTCCCACAGAACCTCTATGGATGGGGTTGGCTTAAAGGTTTAAACAGCACCCACAATCTTAGCCTTTTTGCTGCAGTCTGCCCCCCCCCTCACTTGCCCTCAGGCTTCAGGCTGAGTTGCCATTCCTTTGTCCGTTCCTGTCTGCATCCCAACCACCACACTGAAGCCTCGTGTTTTAAGCCACTCTTGCTTTTTCCATGGACCATCTCTTCAGGATCGGTAGCTATACCCCCTTATCCAACTCTCAAACTCCACTATCCCTTTTCATTTTTCTATATTCATTTAGCTCTGTCTGCTGAATATAGAAAAATGTTCTATAAAAAATATCATAAATGTTCATGTAGTTCCCCATGCCTGGAGTCTCTATCAGTTATTACTGGTTTAGCTGCTGCTCAGTTCCTGCATATGTTACCCCCCTCTCGCAAAGCCAAGTTAAACATTCCCAAAATTAATTAAAAAATAGATTGTCAGTGGAGGCTCCACCAGACCCTCACATTTTGAGTAACAGAGCAAGGATTCGAACCTTGGTCCCCAGAGTCATAGTCTAACACTCAAACCACTACAATACATTGGCTGTCAGCTTTACCTCTGAACAAATATTTAGAACATATAGACAGCCAGAGGCTCTAGGCCTGTACAGGCATACCTCAATTAACAAAACCTCTGAGGGTAAATCTCTCTTTTTTATAAAATCTTTTTATGCCCCCACTTTCCTCCTTGTCCTGTCTAGCTATGAGGGCATTTTTAAAGCATTGGAACAGTAGTGAAGGTGGGCTAAACAGACAAACACTTCAGATGTCAGTTTGCAGCAATCTGTCTGCAGTAAACAATGCAATGATGCTTGAGCTGTGAAAGAGCAGGATTTTGGCCAATCCTACTGCAGCCATGTGTGGCTGCCTACAAGAAGCAAGATAACCAGCAGCTAGATCCAGAATCCCTTACTGAGCCTGTGTCAATAGCAAAACTGAGAAAGGGGACACTAGATGAACCTGCCTCATTAGCTCCCCTAGCATGTTTAAAAAAAAAAAGCACAGATCTATACATGCATTTAGCTACCAAAATGGGAATCATAAGAAAAACAAAAGTTGATGAAATAGAAAGTTATCTCTAGATATATTTTGGAAGAAGCTTCTTATATCGGCTCACCTGAAATTTCATTTCACATGTGGGTATTGTTAGTTGTTAATAAAAAAAAAACTGCTGAAACATATTGAATTGTTCTTTTTTTGTAATCTACAAACTGATCTCTATTCTTTTTATGTTATTTCTCCCTCTCATCCCAAATTTTCTGTTAAATCAATTAGGTTCATGAGCATATCTACTTTGTTAACTGAGGTATACCTTATATAGCAGGGGTAGGCAACCTAAGGCCCGGGGGCCGGATGTGGCCCAGCAAGGCCTTTGGACCGGCCCCAAACCGGTCCTGCCGCCGCCGCCTCCCCCGCCGCCACCGCCCCCCCATGATGATATTGATTATTGTTGTTATTACTTGTTCTTGGGGTTTTCTTGGCAAAATCTTCACAGGGGTTTTGCCATGGCTTTTTTGGGGCTGAGAGAGTGTGCATGCATTTTTTTAATTTTTTAATTCTTTTTTAATTTTAATTTTTATTTATTTATTTATTTATTTATTTTGGGTGCTTCGGCCCATCAATTGTCTGAGGGACAGCAACCCGGCCCCCGGCTCAAAAAGGTTGCCTACCCCTGTTATATAGGATAAAACTAATACACCACAGTCTTAGCATGGGTGTCCAAGGTTTAGAATAACATTTCTCTTCTTACAACATCCTGAGACTGAGATTTGAGATTTGCCTCTGTGCTGAGAGATCAGCAGCACCCTAGGACCTGGCAACCCTATGGGAAAATTCTACTGGTATTATCTGTAACAGTGTTGTCAAGTATTTGTTATTCCAGCATAGCAAGGCCCCACTTGAATACAACAGTCCTTCAGCAGCTCCAAGTGAAGACTTCTGTAAATTTCCGCATCTCATACAGTGGCCAGGCTCTCATTTAGACACTAGGAATGACTTAGAAAACTGGGGATGTTTAGCCTGGAGAAGAGAAGGTTAAGAGGTGATATGATAGCCGTGTTTAAATATTTGAAGGGTTGTCATATTGTGGAGGGAACTAGCTTGTTTTCTGCTACTCCAGAGAATAGGACCCAAAACAATGTATGTAAGCTACAGGAAAAGAGATTCCACCTCAACATTAGGAGGAACTTCCTGACAGTAAGGGCAGTTCGACAGTGGAACACACTCCCTCGGAGAGTAGTGGAGTCTCCTTCCTTGGAGGTCTTTAAGCAGAGGCTGGATGGCCATCTGTCGGGGATGCTTTGATTGTGATTTCCTGCAGGGCAGGGGGTTGGACTGATTGACCCTTGTGGTCTCTTCCAACTCTATGATTCTATGACTGAGAATCTTAATAAGCCCATCTCTACATGTTTACATGTGGACTTGCAAGATAACATGATCTCAGTCTTCTCTGACCTAGGCAGTAATTCAATCTTTCTAGAAAATAATGAGGTGAAGTTCAGGAAATAAAAGGTCTTTGAATGCGAAGCTCGGTAAACCAGGAGAGGATTCTTGTAACATGCCTATAAAGACTTATCTTGATATAAAGTTCATGCACACTTAATTGTGATCTTATAGATCTTAAGATCTAAGCCAGAAGAACTTAAGACCCACTTTTACAGCAGGATTCCATACAAGGCATTATTCCTTACATTTAGAACACACACACAAAAAAAACCCACAACATTTTCTTCCTATTAAGAAGGAAACCTTGAACATAGTTCAACACTGGGAATCAGTTTATTTTTCTTTCTTTCTTCCATCAGCTCAAACTTCTCTCTGATATGCCACAGACATTTGGAACTATTTGGAGGAAGGAAGTCTACAATATTCTACTTTGCAAAAAGTGAGCTGGTTTCAATGAGTATAACTTTTCTGGCTGGTTTGGCATTGCTAAACAATAGTTAAAATACCTTATTTTCCTGCGTATAAGACTACTTTTTAACCTGCAAAATCTGTTGTTAAAGTGGGGGGGTCATCTTATACGTCGGATATAAGGATAAGGAGGATGGAGGTGCTAAACCTCTATATTTTGACTGGAAAAATGGGGGTCGTCTTATACGCCAGGTCGTCTTATACGCCAGAAAATACGGCACTATAATTTTCAGCAATTTCTCAACTAAATACTGAACAGCAAAATCTACAGGAGAGACTAAATAACTACTATGTAAGGAATAATGCCTGGTCTGACTAACTAAATAAACAAATTACTCTCAATTAACAATCACCTTCATCCCACAACCAGACTGTTCATACTGCCTCTGATGTTAAAGGTGGGAGATATATTTTGACCAGCAGCCACTGATAAGACTTGTCCTCCGTGCAATTATGTAGATCCTCTTTTACAGCAATCCAAGTTGGTAAGCAACCCAACATCTGATGTTGCATTAGAGAAGTAATAGTGCCACTCTATTCTGCTTTGGTCAGGTCTCACCTGGAATACTGTGTCCAGTTCTGGGAACCACAATTCAAAAAGGATGTGGAAAAACTGGAGCGTGTCCAAAGGAGGGAAACTAAAATGGTGAAGGGTCTGGAAACCTAGCCCTAAGGAACTGGGGATGGTTAACTTGGAGAAGAGAAGGTTAAGAGGTAATATGCTAGCCGTGTTTAAATATTTGAAGGGATGTAATATTGAGGAGGGAACAAGCTTGTTTTCTGCTGCTCCAGAGAGTAGGACCCGAAACAATGGATGTAAACTCCAGGAAAAGAGATTCTACCTCAACATTAGGAGGAGCTTCCTGACAGTAAGGGCGGTTCGACAGTGGAACACACTCCCTTGGAGAGTAGTGGAGTCTCCTTCCTTGGAGGTCTTTAAGCAGAGGCTGGATGGCCATCTGTCAGGGATGCTTTAATTGGGAGTTCCTGCATGGCAGGGGGTTGGACTGGATGGCCCTTGTGGTCTCTTCCAACTCTATGATTCTATGATTCTAACACTCACAGGTTCAGAAGCAGGAATCAGGCAAGCCTCTGGAGTCTAAATGTTGTTTGCAACTGACAAACTACTCTCACAAAGAAACTACTCTCTCCATTTCTTATGCTAGGTAGTAGGACTGCTGGGACTGGGAAGCCAACATCACCTGAAGGTCTGCATGATTTCAATCCCCACACTAGTTGGACAACTCTTTCCCTCGGCTTCCTCTCCATCATCAATAACCCACTTTCAGAGGGATTCATAACTTTCTAGAGTGGAGTAGACAAAGTGTAGCCTCTGGATGTTCTTCTGTGCCCCCCAACCCATTTTTAACAAAAAAATTACTATTTTAAAGCAATTTCTGCTCTAAAATCACACAAAGTCCCTCACATATAGGGAAACTTGTGAAAATATCCCCACAAGCACTGAGAACTCCATCCTACCACTTGTTTTCTTCTGTAATCCATCTCAAAATGGTGAGAAGACAATAGGGCTATTTGGGCTTACTGTGAGGGTCACAGGCGAGCATGGGGGGGAAGTTGCTGACTCCTGCTCTAAAGGCAGCTTTCAGGGCGCACAAAGCAAGGCATGGCTAGAGAGGGATTTCTTCCATGTCATACCTTCAGTGCAACCAGCCCACTGGATCACAGTCCCAGACTCCCTTAACAAAAACAACCTAAATAACACATTTGCTTCCCAATACACAGCTGAAATGTGCTAGACTTATGCTTAGTTACAGTGGGGAGGATAGTGGAATAAGTATGAGAAGCCTATTGTTCAGCATTGAAAATGCAACTTATTGTCACTTCAATTGCTAGACTGACCCCAAAGCTCTAGTAGTGAAACGTCAAACTCATCAAATTATCTAAGATTTTAGCAGAATGGACAAGTAATCCTTTATCTGTGTCTCAAGATTAGTGTCTATATTTAGCTTGGGGTTTTTTTTATTCAAATCAGTTTAAGTGTAAACACCTATTATCAAATGTTTACTTATCTTAATGGGAGGGAATGATCAAGAAAAACAACAAAAAAGAAGGTCTAGACATGATTTATCTCTTCCAGAAGAAAAAGAAAACCCTCTGAATACTTTCATAAATTCCAGGCAGGACATGTCAGGCCAGTTCTGCTGCACTTTTGGCTGATGTTTTGAGATTTGATGCACAATGACAGATATTCATGTCTAGACTAGATTTAACATGTGTCATGTAAATTTAACTGAAAATACAGGGTGCAATTAAGAAAATATTTAGGCTACTGAAATCAATGCAATCAATGCAATGCAATGCAATCCATATAACTATTCTCAATCCAAACAATGTAACCATAGCTAAAAGCAGTTGTAATTAATATTTTACCGTTAGCAGTATCAGCTTCATTTATATACCATTTCATACCACTTAAGCAGTCTCTAAGCAATTTACAACTGTAAGCTAATTGCCCTCAACAAGCTGGGTTCTCATTTTAATGACCTCTGAAGGATGCAAGGCTGAGTCGCCCCTGAGCCCCTGGCTGGGACTGAACTCACAAGAGTGAGTGGCTGCAGTACTAACATTTAACCACTGCACCACCAAGGCTCCTAATTAATTCATCATGGGT